TCACGGACTTCGGATTATGAGTTTAGAAAGCTATCAATAACTTCTTCATATAAATGAAAAGCCACCAATAACTCCATTTTGCTGGAGCAAGGAGTAGATAACTAGTTTGGAAGCTACTAAAAACTTCATCACATAAGCGAGAAGCCACCGATAACTCCATTTTAGACAAATAAAAGGCAAGTAAAATGATTTGGTACCTATGGATAGCTTCAACCATATAGGTAGGAAGTCACCGATAACTTCTATTCGGATAAATAGACATTAGGTAAATTAATTTAGAAGCACGAGCGAGTTTTAACCATATAAGTGAAAAACTAGTGGTAGCTTCTTTTCAAATAAACAAATAATAAGAAAATTGATTTGGAAGCTGTAAATAACTTCAATCACATAGTTACCCACCAACTAATAGCTTCATTATTGATAAACGGACAATAAATAAATTGATTTAGAAACCGCATATAGCTTTAATCACACAGGTAGGAAGCCACCGATAGCTTTATTTTAGACAAACGAGGCATCAAATAAATTGATTTGGAAGTTGTAGGTAGCTTCAACCAAATAAGTGAGAAGCCACCGATAGCTTTATATTAGACAAACAAATAATAGGAAAATTGATTTGGAAGCCGTAGGCGACTTCGATCGGATAGATGGGAAGCCATCACAACTTCATTTCGGATAAATAGAAAGTCAAGTAATAATGCATAGGACATGGATATCATATTTGACATATCACATTCAAGGTTTTTAATCAATCAAAATCAATGTGATTTCATATTATAAAATAAAGTAATTTAGTCAATAATATCGAATTGGTATAAATTTTTAAATGTTACCCAAAACAAATCAAAATATGCTTGAAGTTATCAAAAACTCGTTTTGAGGTTAATTCTACTCTCTTTATCGACAATGAGAACTGATTATTGGGGTAGCCATTGAAGATGATGTGGTAAAATGTCCAAAATACCCCTGGTTAGTTAGAAAAATACAAGTGGCTTAAATCTAGAAAGTGCATTAAATTTACCAAACTACCCCTCAAATCCGAACTTGATTTCTAATGCTTTTTTTTTTGCCACTATTTTAAGAGTAAATAGAGGGGTTGGTTTTGTTTTAGTCTCCTCTTCCCTTCGGTATTGGTCATGACAATAACCTCTACCTATGGAGGAGATTGATGGCTAACAAGGTTTGACCTTCTCATTCTTTCTTCCTACATTGATTCTAGTAAAAGCGATCATTTTTAAAGGGTGTAATCAATGGAGAACAACCCCTAGGACTTGTTAGAACATAGATTTGGCCATGAAATAATTCAATTTAGCCAAAACAATATAGAAGAATATAAGTGAGTCTACTTGTCGTGGGTTGAGTTTGGATTGCTAGTGGATTTCCACGAATTTAGCCATCTTTTTCCATAATTTCAAGTCGGATATGGTTGCTAGAGGTGGATGAAGTGCTCTGTTGTGGTGGTTATTGTGAATATGGTAAAAAATGATAAAACCAGAATAGAGTAAATGGTTCGGGCACCATGGCTCTTTCTTGTTTGCTATCGATTTTGGGTATTTTTTATCAAGTTTTTTATGGGTTTTTTTGTTGGATTTAGTTAGGAAACACTCATGTGTGATGAGTTTTTGATTTGGATAGAAAATAGCAAAATTAGAAAGGGAAGGAAATGGGTTGGGCACCAATTAAGAATGGTGGATCTAGTGGTGGGATATCGATATATGATTATGGTTGGAGGCAATAATGACCATAGGATGGCTTATTTGGATGAAGAAATTTGGTTGGGTTTGGTGAGTAAACGGGTTGGCTATCTAGGTTGATGGGTCTTATCTCCCCCTTAAAGGTTGTTTGGCTTGATTTTTTATTTTTATGGGTGATTTTTTGGGATTTGTGTCCAACTTTGATGCCCGAAGGGGTTGGGTATTTGTAGAAAAAAATTAGAGTTTTGAGTAAACATTATTTTTTATCATTGGTTTTTCCTAATTTTTAATTTTAGTATCGATTTGTTTAGTTCTTTGCTCAATAATACTTTTTCCTTCTCTCAATTAAAATCTTGGGTCTTAATCCTTTCAATTGTATCCTCAATTGGGTTTTCTTTGATCCCCATGCTTTGCATTTTTTAATTGAACCCCTAGTTTTTTTTTTGAATAATTCTCTTATTCTTCTTTTTTATTTTTATTTTCTTGTATTTTTTAAACTCACATATTTAATTAAATTATTTGAGATATAAATTGGGTGGTAATAAGAATTGGGGCTAACCAAGTGCAAAGGTGGTAAGCTGTGGTGAGCATCGGTTATCTATCGATTATCTATCATAATAGTGACAATTTCTGAAAAATGTTGAAGTTTTATGTGTTATCCAAGAAAAAAACTCATTGAGGCACTAGTAATTTCACCCTAGATCCTAAGAAAAGTGCATAAGGCATAAAAATAGTGAGTGTAGTGTGTGCATAGACATTTTTTCATATTCAATCCCATGCATAAGTAAAATAAACGACATAAACTAGGCTAGAAAATAAAAAAAGGCAAAAACTCAAGCATACAAGCAACAATGTTAAACAAAAGGCATGAAATTAAATAAGGCGAGAAAAATTACACAAATCAACATACTAGTAACAAAATTCATCACATGATCGGAAATCAAATTCATAAAAATTATAGTCAAAGCCTAACCTTAAGTATCCTTAATGAAGTGGCCATTCTATCGTAGGGTGACGTTGAGCAAGGCAATAATTTGAGAATAAGGAATGGACAAAAACGGAGTGGCCACCTAACATTAAGGTTACTAAAAACCATATGACTGATCTACTTAGAGTTTTAAATAAGGGATTGATTACGTGTGAGGAAGATCTAAAATCACCCTACCCTACCTTTCCTAAGACAAGTTGCATTACACACAAATTCTGACTTAATTTTTTATTTTTCATATGATGAAAATCTATGCCTATCGCTAAATATTTGCAAGATTGAACATGGCGAAATTGATAGGTAGATAGACATTTTAGGAAAATTGGCAAGAATGGTCGAAATTAGGGCTTAAATTGACATGACTTCAAGTGTCACGATTATCAAACAAACAATGGCAAAATTGGCAAGTGAACGGACATAAATTGGCAACACTAACAAAAAATGGTCCGAATTAGGACTTGGACCGATGTGAACTCAAGCACCATAATTTTCACATAAAAGGCAAGAAAATTGGCTTAATTGACACAATTGATAAAAACAATCCAAAAATAGGATTTGGATCGATGTGACTTCAATTGCCATGATTTTCATTAAAAAAAAAAGCAATTTAGCAAATGACATATCCAAATAACCATCTTCAAGTAATATTAAACCATTAGCACAAGTAAACATAATCTAACATATTCAATCAAATCACAAATAGATAATAAAAAATAAAAAATCATACGGATAAAAGCCATAAATTACATTGGATAATCCATTAAATTAAATTCTAAATTCATCTTCTCAACTTCGGCGTAAAGCATTGGACTAACTCGATTTCATCTCAAGAGTACTTGGGGTCTCTAACCTTTTTAGGTTTGGTACACAATGATGTATCTTAAACACTTCAATCGTCATCAACCAAATAAATTCAATTTCAACTAGAAAATTAATTTAAGATTATTCTTTAACTAATAAATTATAAATTAGGATTTTGATGACTTACCTAGTAGTTTAAAATATTAGGGAAAATTATCGAGGAACTATCAAAACTTATGATGACCAAAGTTGGGGTCAATTGTTATTTCTTCAACCTTGATGAAGACTCATTGTTCGATCGATCAAGAAGGAGGAGGAGCTATTGGTTGGCAAAATGTTATCGGTATGTGGTAGTTTGATTACATGGTGGTCGTTACTACTAAGATGACTCCTAATATGGGCATCACTAATATCATTTTGGATGTTAGTGCTAACGATAGATTCCAAGCATAGTCAAGAATGGGTAGTGTCACTATTGGATTCTAGAGAGGAGAGGAACTCAAACCCACAGTAGGTGCCGACTAAATGAGGAGCGAGGCATGCTGGCCAACTATGGAAGTGGAAAAGGTTGGACGAAAAGAGAAAACTAGTGACTATCATTTATAGGAGATTGGTGGTAGGTGTTGTTAGCGGTGTCATAGGTATGGTCGAGTTTGAAGGTCAACATCCGGATTGAGTTTGAGGCTAGAACAGGTTAGCGACGAGCTAGTGTGGTCGGGTTTTTGTTATGGATGGATGGAAGTCGTGACTAACTCTTAGGGTAGTCGCCGATGGAATTTTATCGTTTATTTTTATTGTTATGTAGATGGTCGTGGGTCTGGTTCTTAGAGTAGATGGTGGCGATTATGTGTTTGGCTAGAAAATTCAAAGAAAGGAAGGGGTAGTTGGGTGGATTAGCTAGCTTCTCTCCTTATTTCTCTCCCTTAGGGTTTGCTACGATAGAGGATGGGATTTATAGTGGGTTTTTATGGTCAAATGGCTAAATTTTAATTCAATCCCTCATCTTACGTGTCTTTTTTATTTTGTTCCTTCCCCGCTTATCTTTTTTTTTTTTTTTTCCAATTGTGTCATTAATTGATTTTTTTTTAGTCTTTTTTCTTCTTACCTCTTTCCATTCCACCAATTTCAATCCATTTTAACACCTTTCATTTCTTATTTATTCTTAATTACACCCTCAATCGAATTTCATTCGGTCACCACTTCTCCCAATTGTTTTCAATTAGCCCCCCAAACACTCATTTTCCCAATTTATTTCCTCTTATTTCCTTTTATTTTCCTTTTTTTTCCATTTTTTTATTTTTATTTTTGAAGAATCTATGAAAATAAATACAGAGTTAAAATTGGGTGCTAACATTTATGAATCTCAATATCCTTGAGTTTGTCGGTTCAAAACCGATTTTTCTAAATTTGTGATAAAATCAAGACTTTGAGTTTGTGTTAGCTTAGAATCGTGGCCTTTTGTTCCACTTGGATTTCAACGATTTTTCTTGAATTTATTAAGAATTGCAATTGTGAAGTCACATATAATTCAAATCCTTGATTTTTGAACTTAAATCGATCTTAAAGTCGGTTTCTTGAACTTTCTTGAGAATCACGATCCCAAAAGATGTGTATATTAAAAAAGACATGGTTTTTAAACTTGAATCAATCTCAAAGCCATTTTCCCGAACTTCCTTGAAAATCATAACTTGAAATTGCATATATTTTAAAACTTGATTTTTTGACTCTACGATCGTCCCGGAAGTTGTTGTCTTGAATTTCCTTTGAAAATCTCAAAATGAAATCCGAGTAAATTTTAAAACTATTATTATTATTATTTTGAATGTACAACAATTCTGAAAACCATTGTCTTGAATTTTTTTTCGAAAATTGCAACCGAACTCGAGTCATTTTAAATCCCAACTTTTTGAGTCTATAACGGTCTAAAAAACCATTATCTCAAATTTCTCTTTAAAATAGCCACTTTTAAATCAAATTTGTTTGTAAAACCTAATTTTTTGAATCTACAATGGTCTTAAACACCATTGTCTCAATTTTTTCTTGAAACTTGCAACTTGAAATTACGTATATTTTGAATCTTGATCTTTTGATTCCGTGATGGTACAAAAAACCATTCCAAATTTTCCTTGAAAATCACAACTTGAAATTATATATGTTTTTTAGAACTTGATTTTCTAAGTCTACGACTATCTTAAAAACCAATCTCAATTTTTTCTTGAAAATTGCAACTTGAAATTGTGTATGTTTTGAAACATGATTTCTAGAGTTTGTGATAATCCCGAAAACTATTGTTTTGAATTATTCTCGCAACTTGAAATTGTGTATATTTTAAGACTTGGTTTTCCGAGTCTATAGTGTTCTTAAAAACCGTTTTCCCGAAATTTTTCTAAAAAATCACGCACCGAAGAGCGGTTAGAGGAGTGGTTAGCGAAGACTAGACAATGATTAGGGGTGAGTAAACGGTTTGGTTAACCGAAATCGAATACAACCGAACCGAAATACTTAATTTGGTTTGGTTTTTTTTATTTCAATTTATTAAAAAAAAAACCCAAACCGAAATTTGATCACTTTTCGATTTCGGGTTCGGTTTTTAAAAATTTAAATTGGTTTTCACCGAAAACCGAACATCTAACCTAGTTATATTAATTAAAATAAGCTTAAAGTTAAAATTTAACCGAAATTGAGCTTTTGGGTTTTATATAGACATAAACCCATAAAAGGCCATGAACCTTAAAAAACAAAACCCACGGATCACAACCCACAAGCAAACGAAGAGAAGTCGGGCTTAATTTATAACCTATCTCCCACCCTCCAAAAGCTAACTAAGCGATGTGGGATAGAGAAAAGCTCAAAGGGTGAGTTCCCTATCCCATATCGAAAAAAAACATGAATTTGAGACTTGGGAAGATCTATAAATAACCCATCTCACTAATTAAAACTAATATATTTGAAATCATCCCATATGGAAAAAGAACTTATGTATGAGTTCGAAAATATCTATAAATACTATAGGTTGTGGGATGGTGAACTTGAGCTCTTTATTTCATTTTTCGACTTTGTTTTTGGATAAATGTAGGAGTATTGATAATTTCGATTAATATCGAAAAACCGAAATAATTTGAAATCGAAATTTATCTACCGAAGTGTTATTTGGTTCGGTTCGGTTGTAATTTTTTTGTGTTTGGTTAACCAAAAACCAAACCGAATCGAAAAACCGTTTGCTCACCCCTAACAATGATGGTGCGTGAATGATGAAAGGTGGAGCAATTTCATAAATTATAAAAAAAAAACTAAAAGAAGTGCAAGTGATACTATTTATTCCCCGTAGCTTAAGACTCATCTCCTCAATTCATTCATTCATTTTTTTTTCTTGATCCCACTTTCTTTGAGAGACAAATTAATTAGTCCCTTTGTAATTTACTATATACAATGCACCCTTCGAGGTTTTTTGTTTTCATCATTTTCGGAGGGTCCGAGCCAAGCTTCCCTAGCCTGAGCAAGCTCGCTAGGCTCCAATTGTTTTTTTAAAAAATATATTTATGCTTATATTCTGGTTTGTATATAGCTTTAAAATATGTTATGCATTTTACATGATGTGCAAAATTAGAATTATATATATATATATATATATATATAATGAAAAATATGATTTTCTTCTATATTATTTTTTGATGAAATACGGAATTAATGGACTAAAAACTTGAGATATGATTGTCTAAAACAATTTATATAATACAACATATGCATATACATATTTGAAGTTAATTTTTTTCCCCTCCTTGTCATCATATATATTTTTAAGCCTATTGCACAATGATTTAATTATTTTACTATTAATTACATAAAACTTTTATTTTGATATATAGAGTTTATTATTATTATTTTTTGTTTGATTTGAATATTTAATCCAAGTATATGTTGGGAACACAATTAAGTGCATAAGTAATTAATTACAAATGAAACAAAGCTGATTATTAATGATAAGTATTTGAAATTTGTTGTTTTTGTAGTAAAAATTATATTGAGCAAATCGATTTTAAAATATATTATGAGTTAGGAAAACAATTTGTGAATTGTCAACCCCTTCTACAATCCATATCCATATGAAAAATTAAAAAAAGAAGTTATTATAAAAAAAACTAAAAAACATTAGAGGTTGCACTATTCATTTATTATAGCGAGTGCCTTGCTTTATTTATTTATTTTTTTCATCTAGCCTTCTTTTTTGTTTTCGTTTTTTTTAAGGATTGTGCTGTTGGAACTTCATTGCATCGTTCCTCTTCTTTTTTTTTCTTTTTTTTTTTGATTTTTAGTTTCTACATGTTCTCGGATGGCAATCGTTCCCCTTTTATAGAAATAATTTATTTATTTTTATCATGAAATTAGGTTTGAAAATATAAAAAAATATTATTATTATTATTTTTTTTACAAATAGTTTGAAAGTAATAGAATATATATGATATTTTTTAAAAATTTTATTTTGAACATATATATCTTATTATATTAATTATTTTATTATTGAAAATTTATTTCTTTAATTGTTTGTTTCTTATTAAAATTCTCATCGAGTTAATTTTTAAATTTTATATAATTTTATTTGTTAATAAATTTGATTTTTTTATATGGATTTTGAAATAAACTTTTAGAACATTATTGTTTTATTTTTTAAAATATATCATTACAATTTACACGATTGATTATTTTTATGATTTTTCAATGAAAATGACGTTATTGCATATATAAATTCGATGAGGGAGAGAGAGAGCTAAAAGTGTGTTTTATGCTTATATTCTGGTTTGTATATAGCTTTAAAATATATTATGTATTTTACATGATATGCAAAATTAGAATTATTTAGAATTATATATATATATATATATATATATATATATATATATATATAATGAAAAATAAGATTTTCTTCTACATTATTTTTTGATGAAATATGAAATTAATGGGCTAAAAACTTGAGATATGATTGTCTAAAAAAATTTATATAATACAACATATGCATATACATATCCGAAGTTAATTTTCCCCCTCCTTATCATCATATATATTATTAAGTCCATTGCACAATGATCTAATTATTTTACTATAAATTACATAAAATTTTTATTTTCATATATAGAGTTTATTATTATTATTATGTGTTTGATTTGAATATTTAATCCAAATATATGTTGGGAACACAATTAAGTGCATAAGTAATTAATTACAAATGAAACAAAGTTGATTATTAATGATAAGTATTTGAAATTTGTTGTTTTTGTAGTAAAAATTATATTGAGCAAATCGATTTTAAAATATATTATGAGTTAGGAAAACAATTTGTGAATTTTCAACCCCTTTTACAATCCATATCCATGTGAAAAACTGAAAAATTAAAAATAAGTTATTATAAAAGAAACTAAAAAAAGAATGAAGGTCGCCTTGTTTTAGACAATTTGACTTAATTTTTTAAAAAATAATTTGGCTTTTTTTTTTTTTAATAAAAAAAATTGATAATTAGTTAAAAAAATTCATAAGTTTTATTTGGTTTTGTATATATGTAATCAAAATTTATCAAAACTAATTTTACAATAGTTTTTATTTAAATCTATTCACTTCGATATATTCCATGAAATTTAAGTTGGTTTTTTTTATATTTTTAATTTATTTTATATACTCTTAGTCTTATTACATGGATCAATTTTTGTTTTTAAAATAATAATTAGTTAAAAAGTTCATAGGTTTTATTTAGTTTTACATGTATAATTAGAATTCATCGAAAATAAATTTATAGTTGTTTTTATTTAAATCTACTTACTTCTATATATTCCATGTGATTTAAATGAGTTTTCTTTAATATATATATTTATTTATTTTATATACTCTAAATCTGCTAAGTACAATATAAAACTAAAAGAACTAGGGTATTTGAATAGTAAACGAACGTAACTCTAGGCCTTGGTCGCTCAACCTAGCCTTTTTTTTTTTTTTTAATATATCCAAGCCTTGGTAGCTCAGCTTGGCCTTCTTTCTTTTTCTTTTTATTTTATTTTTTTCTTCACATATATCTATACAAGGTTCATGATTGACAAATATATTTTTAGATTACAATTGCCACTTTGAAACATTTTTTAATTTTTTAATTTTATTGCAAATTTGTAATGGTTGATAGTTTTTTAATATAATTGTATTTGTTAATAAATTTGGTTTTTTTTATATATGAATTTGGAAATAAAATTTTAGAAAGTCAATGTTTTATTTTCTTAAAATATATTATTATAATTTATACAATAGATTATTTTATATTTTTAAATGAGTGTTTTATTTTTAGTGTGTGTGTGTGTGTGTGTATTGAGAGAGAGAGAGAGATAGAGAACTAAAAATATATTTTAGATAGTTTGAATCAATTTTTTTTTTAAAATAATAATGAGTTAGAAAATTCACAAGTTTTATTTGTTTTTTATATATATTTATTCACAATTTATCAAAACTACTTTTGTTGTAGTTTTTATTTTAACCTATTGACTTCAATATATTTCTAAAATTTAGGTGGGTTGTTTTTGTATATTTTTCTATTTTCTATATACTCTTAATCTGTTATGTGTGTGTATTTATAGTTTTGTTAGAAATTAACTATATCTAGATTCAATTTATATTAAGCATAAAAAATAAAACTTTTTTTATTAGCGTTACACTATATAAATCGTTAACCCTACTTATGTAATAGTTGTCTACCCATAACATAGCGCGAGTATCCAATTTGTAACTACTAATATGTGTTCCTCACACACCAGCAGCATTTATGTGGTTTCAATCCTATCTGGGATTATCTCATTAATTTCAAAACTATTCAAGATTATTTGGGAGTTTTTTGTGACCTCTCAAGTGAGTTCTTGAAAATTTTTACCACTTTTAAAGTTATTTACGAGCTTTACATGATTGTCAATTAATTATGAATAATTTGAAGTGCGAATGAGATACTATTGTGTATGAAACTCGTGCTTCCAATCTTTGATACTGTTTCTAAATATGATGTTTGACATGATTTGCAAATTTTTGAGTCCAACATTTTCTTTTTATATACGTCAATATACTCTAATTCGTGTCGATTCAAAACTAATTTTTTTAATTTTTTTTATAAAATTATGACTTTGAATTCACGTCAGCTAATTCCACTTAGTTTTAACACATTTTTATTGGATTTTCATAAAAAATGTAATCCTAAAGTCATGTATATTTTAAATTCTGATTTTTGAAATCCAATCAATCCCAAAGCTGCTTTTCTAAATTATCCTAAAAATTGCAATCCCAAAGTTGCATGTATTTCAAAATTCTTGAGTTTTTAATTTGAATCCTAAAGTTGTTTTCCTAAATTTTTCTGAGAATCGTGATCTCACAATCATGTATATTTCAAATTCTTGATTTTTTAACTTGAATTTGGGTACCAAAGCTAGTTTCCTTGATTTTCATGAGAATTATGATTGTGTTGTATATTTCAAAATCCTTGATTTTTTGAACTTGAATCGGTGTCTCGACACTACTTTCCTAAATTGTTTTAAGAATCACAATTTTCAAGTCTTTTATATTTCAAAATCCTTAATTTTTGAACTTGAATCGATCCCAAAGCCAGTTTCTTGAATTTTCTTGAGAATTGCAATTTAAAAGTTGCTTATATTTGAAAATCCTTGATTTTTAAAGTAAAATTGGTCCTGAAGTTGGTTTAAAATTTTTTTCTTGAGAATCTTGATCCTAAAGCTATTTTTGAACTTGAATCGATCCCAAGCCATTTTCCTAAATTTCCTGAAAAATCACAACTTGAAATCGCAGACATTTTAAAACTACATTTTAAAACTTGATTTTTTGAGTTTGCAATGATTCTAAAAATTGCTGTCTTGAATTTCCCTAAAACAATCACCATCTAAAATCATTTACATTTTAAAACCTAATTTTTTGAGTCTACCATGATCTTAAAAACTATTGTCTTGAATTTTTTTTAAAAAATAGCGACCTAAACTCGCGTCATTTGAAAACCTAATTTTCTGTGTCTACAACGGACCTAAAGACTGTTGTCTCAAAATTTTCTTTAAAATATGATTTTAAATTGCGTGTATTTTTAAAACCTCATTTTCTAAGTCTTTAACAATCTTGAAAACCATTGTCTTGAATTGTTCTTGAAAATTACGACTTGAATTCACATATATTTGGAAACCTGATCTTCTAAGTCTAAATTGATCTTGAAACATTGTGGTCTCAATTTTTTCTTGAAAATTACAACTTAAAATTAAAATTACATACATTATGTAAAACCTAATTTTCTGAGTCTCTGGTAGTCTTGAAAAACCATTGCTTTAATTTTTCTTGAAAATTGCATCTTGAAATCACCTATCTCTTGAAGCCTGATCTTTTAAGTGTTCGATAGTTCTAAAAACTATTGTCTTGAATTATTCTTGAAAATCACAATTTGAAATTGTGTATATTTTAAACTTTTTTTTTTTTTTTTTTTCAGTTTGCTATGGTCTCGAAAATTGTTGTCTTGAATTTTTCTTTAAAATCACAATCTGAACTTGCATACATCATAAAGCACTAATTTTCTTGAAAATCATTTTCATAACCCATTTTTTACCCCTTTTTTTTATATAGAATTCAAACGCTAAAAAAAATTACATGTTGTATAGTTAATTAATTTTTTCTGATTTTTAGATATTTTTATAAATTTTTAGAATTTTAATTTCTTAGAAATATCTCCTAATTTTAATTAAATAAACAAAATTAAAATGGGACAAAAAAAAAAAAAGAAATTGAAAAGATAAAAAAAAATGATTCGGGGTTTAATTAAGAGAAATCAAAAGAATGGAGACTAAAAAATTTTGATTAAGGGCATGTTTGGCCAAAAAACATATAAAGAAATGTAAATTGAAATTAAAAGAAACGGATAAATAAAGAACCAAATTTTGTTTTTCCCATTATTAATCTATGTATAAAATGTGTTAGGTTTTCCCAAATTTCTTTTTTGTTGCCTTTACATCCAGGGTTTGATTTGCTGGTTGCGTGGCTATGCCAGCAAGATCAGAAGAATCCCACTCAGATGTGGATTTCCCTCCTCTTCCATTCACAACAATCATTGGAATCAACCTTACTGACATAAACTCAAAAAAACAATATGTCACGGTGAATTCATTAGACACAGGTGCAGCGATAGCTGGAACTCTTAAACCTAGTTCAACATAATAACAATAAGCAATCGGTGTTAATGCAGTCATAATAGGAACCACACAAGCTTCCTTGCCAAATCAAGAATTGAATGGAAGATCCCATCACCAGAAACTGAATTATGCAGCAGCAGTTGCACCAAAACCATATTTTCCTTCAACATAGAAACCTGTTTTAATAAATCTGCCTCTCATTCCAAGCTCACAAATGCAAATCAATGGAGAAATAATGTGTTTTTTTTCTATAGTTGAGATGGAAACTGCTACTCACTAGTTTTAATATACAATTATCCTCAAGTTTTTCAATGGAAGGCCTTTAATCAGCGATATCAAGGGTCATATTCACCAAAATTAGAACCTGCTAGGGGAACGTGTGATTGGTTTACGTGACCCAAGTCATGTAATGATACACCTTAGTAATGAATTTATTATGATAACAGCTCTCTCATGTGTAGATCACAAAATTCTAAACTGTATGCACTGTCTCTCCAGATGGATTCCTAATTTTGTCTATTGCAATGATTTCCCATAGATTCTAGTATGGATTCGGCTCACCTACCTCTACCTTTTGTCAATCCTTCCTACATGCAACATATTGGGGAAACCATGGGATGCTTCTTAAGGGAAGACAATAAAACTTTACAGCTTCCTTGTAACCCCCACGAAAATATTTAATGATATATATATATATTGAAATATTCATGTAAATATATATTAAATACGAGTGCAATTATAGGTGTCATTTTAATTATTTGGTGATGATGGTTAATTAGTACTCATGTGAAAATTTTGGGGCACTTATGTGAGAATTTTGGGATGAAGTTTCAAACAACTTATTATATATTAAGTACTTCGGACATAGTATACAAGGGAAATAAGGGTTTGTATAAAATTTTGGAAATATAGGAATATTTTCCTTGGAAAACATCGAATGGAAGGGAAGGGAATTTCCGAGTTTAGAGGGAGAATTTATGAAAATCTATGAAGGAAATATGTTAATTAGGGTATTTAATTAGTCTAATCCCTTAGTTATGACACCTAAGTCATTTCATTAAATGCAAGAGAGCCTACTCACTCCACTTGCACACAAACCTCGCCACTTTCACCAAAGACAAACATTTTGGAAAAACTAGTAGTCGCCAAAGGATAGAAGAAAAACCAAGTGTGAGGAAGAGAAAAACAAAAAAGAAAGAGAGAAAAGAGAGGAAAGAAATAGAGAAGGGAAAAGAAAGGAAAAAGGGAAGAAAAGCTAAAGGAACCTAACCTCATCCAAACTAGGTAAGCGGGTTTTTGTTTATGTCATTTATTTGATCCTTCCATGAAAATTGATGTATTTGCTTAAACTTCCAATTATGTTTTGTTGTATTGATGTGTTGGCCTTGTTATGCTTGGTTGGTATAGGATTTTTTGTTATTATGGAATATCTATGTAAGTAATTTTCTTTGATGCTTCATGCCATTCAATTGATGTGATTGTAATTGATTAAGCTTGCATATAGGTTATGAGGTGTTTGTTGGCTTAGTTATGTCGGTTAGGTTGTTTGATTGATCAAAACATGATGGGCAAACTTGGAACTTGTATAGGCATGAATAGTAGCAAGGAAGGAAAAATAACATTTTGGGGTTTTCTTGAGCAAACGTGAAGTCGGAGAGTTACACGGCCTCCCACACGGGCGTGTTTTTGCCCGTGTAATGAAGAAATGTATTTTTCTTCAAGTCGAGAGTTATACGGCCTCCCATACGGCGTGTCTTTGCTCGTGTAATGAAGAAATGTATTTTTCTTCAAGTCGAGAGTTACACGACCTCCCACACGGGCGTGTCTTTGTTCGTGTAATAAAGAAATGTATTTTTCTTCAAGTCGAGAGTTACATGGCCTCCCACACCGGCGTGTCTTTGCCCGTGTAATGAAGAAAAGTGTTTTTCTTCAAGTTAGAGAGTTACACGCCCTCCCACATGGGTTTGTCTTTGCTCGTGTAATTCACTCGGTCATTCAAAATTCATCACTTTTACTTCATACTTGCTTGGTTTCCATTCCTCTCACCCAAATAAACAAATTAACGATCAATAAGGCTGAAATAAAAATAAAAATAAAAATATTTCATGGTAATAAGAGGTACGAGCATGCCCAAAACCCCGTGTGGGTTAGACCTATAAAAATATATGAAGTCGGATCCTGTATGGGTTGGATATGTTTCATATGGTACGTATAACATCACGTGCATCATGTGCATTATGGGGCAAATGGAGAAAAGTCAATTGAATGAAAATTGGTTTACACAATTACGTTTGGTAACCTAACGAAAAAATGGGTATTAGCAATCTAGTCGTGTGCGTACTCCGAGTCGTGTGCCTACACTCGTTAAGTGATGCATTCCCGCTAACAATGGCTACAACGAGGGATAATTTTATTGTAGTAGAAGGTGATTTGATAATCACCTGGATTAAAAATAGAGTAGACTAGCTAATACCTGGGGTACTCGAAATTAAAATTGATGAGTATTGTGGGAAGTCGAAAAGCATTGCATATCTTGTGCATCACCCCACTTAATGAGCTTCGGCTCACCCCATCATTATTTCTATGATGTAACAGGAAGAGGAAAAAATAGTAAGGATGTGGTCGGTTCCTCCTAAGAGGCTCATGTGTAACACGGGAAGTCGAAACAAGTTTTGTCCGTAATTTGGAGGTATGGAATCTATACGGAATCAATCGCTAATTGTAATATTTTGTTACTCGTAATTAGTTATACCATGTAAAATTTTCTATATGCAGTCTTGTTGTGTAAGGTGATGTTAATTTCTTAAGTACACCGTACGAGACTTGATTAGGGTTTAGGTAGTGTCAGCATGACGCGCCTTGCCTAGTCACTTATATTTGGTAATAGTTAATGGACCGAGGTCGGGGCGCCATAAGGTGGTATTAGAGCTATGATTTAGATAACTAGGTAGAATCTCATGTGTTACATGAGCTCGAGGACCGGGTGCTTGTTCGAAAAAAATATTTATAATTATCATTTTCAATTTTGATTCTTTGATTAATGTGTATGATTGTTATTATGTGTTTAGATGTTGATATATGATTATGCTTAACAATATTGATAAGAGTCAATATTGGTGTTGTAGATGTCGTATCTATTTCGTACACCCTATGTTGCTAGGACACATCGGCAGCATGCGACTTTAGCCATTTATTGGGCGAGCTAAAAAACCTAGTTACGACTCTAGATTAGGACATAGTAGTCCATAATACTTTAGTACTTGACTTACTGCAGTGAATAATCTTCGCTGGTGCTTCCTTCCAAGCAGTATCGGAGCATGGACTTTCCGAGGTTGACCTTACGTTAGACTTTGACACTAAGAGATTGAAAGCTATTAAATGATGTTTGGGAAGGTCCGATAGATAGGTATTGCTATAGGAATTTGGTCCGAGCCTTCCTTCGATCCAGATTAGGCGGACCCTTACTCGATTGATGTACGACTGGGTCTACCGTTACCTCTTGATGAGAGATAGTACATCGTGCCTTAGACAACTTTATTGATCGGTAGAGGGTCGAGTATTCTTTCCCTTGACATGTTTGATATGTAAGTTATTAAGGACCCTACCACACGACGCGGTGTCTTTATGTGTTCTAGGATGTAAATAAGAGTGCTTCGATTGTAAATATAACACAAAAACCTTCGAAAGGTAAATGTGTGTATGAAACGCTTATTATGTATAAAGATGTATAATTTTATACGAACATGAATGATTTATATTAAATGTTAGAATCCGTACCAAAAATAATTTGAACTTAATGTGTATGTAAAGATAAAACATGCCGCCTGAAAGAACCCCATACGAGCGAGGAGGTGAAGGGACCTCCCATGATAATAATTTGAATCAACAAGAAACGTTGAGCTAAATGATGGAAATCATACAGCAGCGAGCAACAAACACTACAACGAAACAACAAGTCCATGTCGAACGGATGAGGTAGCTTTTAGCTACACAACAAGCTGCCTCAACTCCATCATAAAAATGATGCACTAGAAAGATTTTATAAAATGAACCCTCAAGAGTTTGCTTGGGAGAGTGAACCCAATGATAGTTGAGGAGTGGATTAAGTCCTTGGAGGGAATATTCGAGTACCTACAGTTTGCTAACTAGGAGCGAGTTTCGTGCGCCTTTTTATCGCTAACTAATGATGCTCGCACATGGTGGGAGAGCACACAACTGACGGTAGATGTGCCTACCTTAACTTGGGAAGGATTTAAGGAGGTCTTTTATAACAAATACTTCACCGTAGACGTGAGAGATAAAAGATACAAGACTTCCTAGAACTAAAGTAAGATGGGATATTTGTAAGTGAGTATGTACGAGAGATTTGAGCAAGGATTTCAATTTGTCCCATTTATTGCAAAGGTGACAACTTGAAGAAGAATCGATTTTTAATAAGGTTAAGTCCAAAAATACGAAGCATGGTACGGATGTCCGCCGCCAACACTTTTTCGTAAATGGTAGATAAAGCGATGTTGGTAGATGAGGATCGGAGAGAAATTGTAAAGGAAGTCCAACGGAGGAGACAATCATTTCGACCCGAGCCTCTTCCTTCGGACCACAAAGATGAGTTTCGCCTAGAAATTTCAACCGAACTAGTGGCCTAGGAAATGCATAGGCTACCGGACCATCACCTTATGCCTCGAGGCAACTATCGTGGAATCAACCGAGGCCAATGATTAGTAATCAACCCCGATGCAGTAGATGTGAGAGATTTCACATTGAAGAATGCTCGGTCGGATGTAAGAACTTGCTTTGTATACCATAAGCTAAGACATATATCCCACAATTGCCCCTGGGCGTAAAAACCGAGCTTGAAAAGGGTACCTGCCGAGTATACACTATGACCTAGGAAGAAACGGATCGGAGGGATACAATAATAATTTGTGGTAATGTCTCAATCTTTGGCTTGATTGTTTATGCCTTGATTAATTCTATGTTACACATTCATTTATATCAAGCACATTAGTAAAAGGCTTAGGCGTCAAACATAAGACATTAAACATAGGATATCTTAT